TTCATCAAAATCGTTAGAGCCATAATCGCGCTACAGTGTATAGAAAAACATGTTTTTCATTTATTGCTCATGGAGCATCTAATTTGTGTCACAGGCATCAGTAGTCAAAACCCTACAAAATAAAAAAAGAAGCAACAAAATCGGTTCCCTAGCTCCCGAGAAAATCTTGGCTAAAAATGTTTTTTTCGGACTCAGAGGGCTATGAAACGGATAGAACCGTCGAAAACGACATATCGGAAATTTGATCCCATCGCAATACTTTCCTTGCCTTGTGAAGGTAGGAAAGTAAAAAAAGAAAATTGAGTCAATTTGAATGTAGACAGGGGTTTAGAATGTCATTTTGATATTTCTAATGAGAATGACCTTCAGCCATAACTAATCACATCGCTTGTCAATGCGTTGGATTTTATGTAAACTAATTTTGCTATATGTATAGATATAGATGTAGCTTTTGGATCATTCTTTAAACTTTACTTTTTTATTTTTAGAGTGAATTAATTATTTTATATAATAAATACGATAATTATAAATAATTTTGTTTGTGCTCACCGTGCTTGATGTCCGTCCAGATGTTCCTGACAGATTCACAGCAAGTCCTTCGGTACAACTTCACCTCATCCGACGTCTCTACTTTGTAGGACAGATTCTGTTCTGACAATAATTCTGGAATGTGCATTTTTTCTTTTTCTGTATTAAATCTCATTCAGTATCACAAATTGTGAATAAGCTCAGTTTGCTATTTTAATTTTTAAAACTTACTACATCGACCAATATAGGAAATGGTTTTATCAACGGGATAAGGAATCCCGCTTATATTTTTAAAATCCTCCTTTCGTAATACCTTAAGCTATTTTATGTAAAACTGTCTAATTTTTCCAAATGTGCTTTGAGCAATCGTTTTTAAATTACTTTTATTATTTTACACTAGGTGTTAACCGCGTTCAATTTATATATGTATATGTACATGTACAAGTCTGTTTCATTTCGTTAAGGGCATAAAAGCAAGGGTATCTGATAACTGAATAACATTCCTAATTTATGTGGGAAAAAATAATGGTCTTATGTTAAAAGTTTATTACTTCTTTTTTCTTAACCTCATTATTACTTCAAAGTTAGGATTTAAAAGCAATTATTTCATGTTTCAAATAAGCAACTGAAGAATTTAAAGGGATGTTAGTAATATTACTTAATTGTGAAACTTAATAAACGTTAACGGGTATGATAGACACGGGTAGCTCTGGAGAACAAAAACAAGCTTTTTCATTTAAAATTAGAATATTCAAATACGTTTTAATTTTGCTAATTGAGCTAAAAACGGTTTTGGTTGTTATAAGAAATTAAGTTCCTTTCGAAATATAGGCTGAAAATGAAATTTATTTTATTTCTCTCTCTTTTTTCTTTTAGTTTCATCAAAATCGTTAGTCGTTTTGGCGTTACAGTCAAATAGAAAACACATTTTTTCCTTATACCTAAAAGAATACCTACAGACATCAAGATCTGTAGAAAAACGCACAAACTATTTAAATTAAACTTCTAAGAATAGTTCAATTTGATAATTGTTCTCCTTTTGTTAAAAAAATATATTAGTGTTATTCGCAACCTCATCTAGATAAGCAATCATCCTTAGAAAAAACATTGTTCATTTTATTCATTTCCAAAATGCATAAAAGTTTGTCAATATTATCTGCAGTTTTCCTGATTATTTATCCGTAATAAATCTTTTTTTTTTATATTATTATTAAATCTTCTGGATACCATGATGTCAGAGTTTGATAACGATTGATCATGGAGTTTCCCCATCAGTACCTTTTATAATTAAAGGAAAGTCTTACGCGAGATTTTGAAATATTATCCTCAACTTCTTCCTTATGTTTAAGGGAAAATATGAACTATCAAAACTCAAAATAAGAAGATGATGAAAGTTTAATTGTATCAATTAAGAAAAAAAAATAAGCTAATTCCTTATTGTAAGCGAACCCAGTTTTAATACAGATTTCCCGAATGCTTATTCAACTTCCTCCAAAATAGTCCGTGGTAAATACTCCTTTTTATGATATTATTGACATCCATCTAAAACTTCGCAAATAGCTTTATCTCATCGTAACCTACAAATATTTTATTTACAAAAATTCTCGGAATTGGGGAGTTTTCGATCTAGAGGTCGGCAAACTTTGTCTATTTCTTTAGGTACTAAAAACTCGTAAATACACCCTTGCTTTCAACTTGGATCGTGAGATAATTTGATAAGAAAATCTATAAAAAGGGTTACCTAGAAAAACCTTGGACCGTTTGCCCTACATCCGTTTGCCGTCCTCCCCACATCCGTCAATCCAAAACCCTTCCTACCTTTAAATCCCAACTGTTTAATCATTTCTTATCCATCCAGTCCTCATCATAAAATTGTAAATAGTTACTACTGTATGTAAATATGTATATAAATTATTAGATCGTTCTTTATTATTTTTACTTCATGTTTATTTTCAATTTTTTATTTTTATTATTAACTGATGTAAATTAGAAAATAACTTATAATTTCTCTAAATATTTTTTATTTTAGTTTTTTTTTTTACTATTTAATCAAACTATACTCTTGTTTATGTATCTCTGAGGCTCCTTAGCCCACATTTTTGTTTCTCTGTATTATTCTAAAGGAACTAGTCCCAGAATAAATAAAGTATTATTATTATTATTATTATTATTATTACATAAACTCGTTGTTTTGACAATTTGAGGGCTTAGGTCACGCTAAACGGCTTAATATTTTTTTAAGGCCACCTTTTTTTTCGACTTTGTATTCAAATTATCATACGATTTAAGTAGAGAACAAATGGTTACAAATGGTCGTAAATAGTTACGAGTTTTTTAGTACATAATTAAATAGACAAAGTTTGCCGACCTCCAGAATGAAAATGCCCCAATTCCGAGAATTTTTGTAAATAAAATATTTGTAGATTATGATGAAATGAAGATATTTACGAAGTTTCAGGCGGATGTTAATAATTTGATAAAAATGGTCTGTACCACGAACTAAAACGTTGATATGAATTTATCTGCAAGTGCAAAGTTTAATATCTATATTAAATTATTATTATATTTATTAATTTATTATATTAATTAAATTATAACCACAGTGTTCGCAACCTCCATGTTTGCTTGCCCGTGACAGGCGTTTCTTGCTGATTTTTATTAATCATTGTTTAATATTTTCCAGCCATGTTTAAATTATAATATACAGTTATGTATTTCAATTACGTTTCAAACGATGTCCTGGTAGACATATGCAACTGCCACTAGCGGACATACTGTTCGATCACATCCTCTCATGGTTTCCTATGTTATAAAAATTTATTTCTCGAATAGGAATAAATCCTCACAAAAATTTAAACAAGTTCGTATGTAAACCATTTAGAGATTAAAACCAACAAACAGAAACATTTTTAGGACACAATGAACCATAATAAACTTCAGCATATCTTATTTGTATTAACATTGAAACTCTTTAAAATCAAGTTTCAAACCGAAGAAGTCTGAAAATAATATTTTCAAACGTAAGTTTTCTTGTTGCATTGCTGCATCCTTGACACTCCTTTTCTTTTCAATCCTTCAGTAAAGACCCACGTCATCCGTCATTATGACAGCATATATATTTATATAATATTTCTTTTTGTTCTTTTTAACATTTTCAGGCTTTATTTTGTTAAAGTATACATTTTTCTTCTCAATTTGGCCTCCCGTTTTGAATTTGCTTTTTATCAAATTATTAACATACGCCTGAAAATTCGTAAATAGCTTTATCTCATCTTAATCTACAAATATTTTATTTACGAAAATTATCAAAATTAGAGCGTTTTTAAACAGGAGATCGGACAACTTAGTCTAATTAATTAGATACTAAAAACTCATGAAAGCCCGTTTGTCCTACACTTGAATCGTAAGATAACATGATCACAAAATCGAAAACAAATGTAGCCTACAAAAATATTGGGGCGTTTGGCCTTTATAACATTGTTATTTTAACTTTTCTGTGTGAAGGTCACGCCAAATAGATCAATATGTTTGTAGACCACATTTTTTTTTTTCTTTCAACTTTGTGATCATATTATCTTAATGGTTATTCATAGGTTTTTAGTACCTAATTAAACAGACAAAGTTTGTCGATCTCCAGATTGAAATCGCCCCTATTCCGAAAATTTTCGCAAATATAATATTTGTAGTTTACGTTGTGATGAAGCTATTTACGAAGTTTCAGGCGGATGTTAATAATTAGATAAAAAGGGGTGTGTGCCAAGAACTATTAACTCTAATCCAGCATTATTCATCATGATTGCTGTAACCTGACTATTTATTTATCTCCATAATCACTATAAACGTTTAGCAAACATAAATTATAATTCAAAACTTTTTAATCATATGGACCAAAAATAGCACTGTACTCAACTTAAAATATGTTAATGAAATGTTATAATAGGCGTTTTTGAATTGAACATTGAACATTGAACATTGTATTATTATAAAACATATGTTTTATAGTAATACATGGTGGAATTGCTCATCCTCTCCCCAAGAGAGATGGTGGTTCCCCTCCTAAAAAATTTCATTGCTCTCATCTTCTAAAGAATGATGATTGTGAAAGGAGAATTATAAAATATCTTTTTCTCTTGTTCTCTGGTTTTAAAGTACCCTTTATTTGGTAAAGTTAAGAAACGTAATAGGTCTTTATCAGAGTTAAAATGAAGAAGATACAGGAAATTTTTCATAAACACTAATAAGTATTAACTAGTTAGTATTCCATCTTCTTTTTAGCCCTAATGAAGAGCAACAACTTAAATCGAAAGTCCAATATCCAATAAAAAACACTCGTGAGTTGACAGTACTACAGTACCAATAATATAAGTGAGTTGGCAGTACCTCCCGAATAACCTCTCCTTAAATTAGAACTACGCTCAATGATTTCCATATTATTATAAACACTTTCATTTTTCTAATATTTTGCTGCATATGGGCAAAGTCATGGAGGAGAAACCACATCCGTAACAAGCTTACATGTAATTTTAATAAACGATGTATTAAAGAAAAAAGAAGTGATGAGGTGATTTGAACTCTTGTCGTTCAAAAAACTTTTATTTGGACATTGTGGAGAGCCACAATTGTTTGTCCGCAAAGATCCAGACACCTAGCAAGATCCACGCGTAACATATCGTCATCGAAATTGTTCTTAAACATTTCAGTTACGTATGTTATTGTGTTTCTTTTGCCTAAAAGGTCTCTTGAGTAAAAAATTTCTATTATTATTATTTTGTATGTTTTACTTACTTTGTCAATTTTGCAATAAAAATAGGGTTAATTGGGACAATACCTCAGTCGATGAATTTGAAATGAAATGAAATGATTCTATTCTTCAACAGAAATGTATAATTAGATGTAAGACATCATCAAATTTGAACATTATACAATCATTAGCCAAGAAAGTACATCATTCGTCAAGGTTTCGTACAAACCTTTCATTTACATACAAAGGTTTCATGGAATGTTTTCTTTTTTTTTAATTAACAATTATGCATATGTAAACAATTCTTAATAACTATAAGAGACAAAGGTATGTGTAGAGGGATTACTATACAAAAAACTTAAATGACAGCTATAAGATAAGTTACTCTACAAGTGTGGCGAGAAGAGAGGATGGGTGGACCCCTCGCTATACTTTAGAACTAGATAGTTTCCAAGAGACGGACCGAGCCCCCTGCAGAAGGAGTGCTCTCCGACGAGGGCTATCGAGATGGCCGGGAAGTTCCTGGCGATTGCCGTCGGCCAGGAGTGCCCCTTCAGCCAGGCCTCGGGGTCCGGGATCATCTCCTCCGGCAGCTCCACTTCCTGCAGGCTCTTCTTCGGGCACCGGCACGTCGCGGGTACCCTGTAACAGTTATCCAAGTAGAGTGCTGTTATCATCAGCAAGGCTAGAGACATCCTAAATACTACATTAGCCATTAATAAAATAAACAAAAATTACCTCTGACCATAAAAAAAAACAATATTTTGGAAGCCGAAATAAAAAGTAGGATGAAAGCAGGAACTAGATTTTTCTACACTCTACAAAAGGCTATTCGGTACAAAAGTCTCTACACGATAGACAAGCTTGTAATAAATAGAACGATTTTTAGACTTATAGTTGTGTATGACAGTGAGACATGGACTATGACAAAAGAAGATCTTTAGAGCCCTCAGAGAACAGCATAGGTGGAGAATCAGAAGCAACGTCCAACTAGTGGAACTATTTGGTAAGCTTCATATTGTATTAGATAGCCCTTAGTATTTATTCCTTTATGTAACATTGTGTGAGGGAATGAGAAGGAATATATAGGAATGTGAGGTTGCACAATGAATTGTACTCAATTATGCAGTTGACAAATTATTCATTGAAAAGTCTCATATCGACGAACAATCAATAAAGAAGAAAGAAGGAAAAGGACGGAGCAGGTAGCAACAGCTGGAGAACGACGCTGGAGAGAAGAGAAGACACTTGAGGCTGAAGCATGAAGGGGAAACGACGTTACCTAAGAAGAGAAGCAAGCCTACCACATTGAAGACTAAGAATATCAAGCCTAATGTTATAAGACTTTAATAGAATCATTTGTCAAAATAAATTGTTTTATTACTGAGGAGTGAACAGTCAATTTATTTATTTGTCCTATATGCCTCACAATTGAAGAATAACAAACCAGGTGAGTCAATTCATTCAAAGTGTATTTACTGAGTCCAATATATATATATATATATATATATATATATATATATATATATATATATATATATATATATATTGTTATTGTTTCTTCTCACTCAGTGTCACAAAAATATTAGGTTCCCGAATTCCCAACAACAGTTAAACACCCTCAAAAAGTCTATATCCAGTGCCGGAGTTTTGGTTTAATAACAATAGTTCCCCGATAAAAAAACGAAGGGATACTATTCCCGCCAAAACGAATTATTTACAATTAACCTTTAACAGGTTATTTACAATATCCTCAGTGTTATTAAGAAGAGCAGACTCAGATGACTCAGAAGTTAAGAGGAAAGGAACAATCTCTTTAGACTGCCAAAAAAGATCAAAAATGGTACACCAGGATGAAAAAAGAGACAGATCCAGACAGAGATTGGATGGTCTGGAAGAAAAGTTGAAGTGGCAAGGGATCTGAAATCGGAGGAACCTTACTGTGTACCGCGAGGAATGGAGTAATGAGCTGACAGAAGCTCAGGTACTTAAAATTATGCATGTTGCACATTCATCTGATTGTATTTAAATATTTACTTTAATTCCTAATATTTTTTCCAATAATCCGAGTTTTTTGATAATTTGAGGGAAACTCCCCATTCAGCATTATCGGAACTCCACTGTACTGTGAATCTGATTCAGTTAGAGGAGGTCAGCGTTATATATTATTATTTTTATATGTTTAATTCCAACATCTTTATAAATTTGGCTTTATTAAAAAATGTAGTAGTTTATGAATGAGAGAATGATTGGATTGGCAGTGAAAAGTACTAAACACTTTTAAATATTTAATTTGAGTTTTATAACAGTTTTGTTCTAACCACTCCCCTGATAAACTTGTTCCAGATTGAATTGTACTTAATTGTTCAATAAATAGTAATGGTTTATGATATTAACTGTATATTCATCATTTAAAATTTTCTGATATCTTTTGTAGGAAGAACATAATTTTGAGAAGAAAATGTGTAAACGTGGATTTCTTTTTTAAAAAATGGGTGAAGATGGAGCCTGCTTGTTGCGTGTTGTACCTAATCAAGTTTAAGACTATAGCGCCCGTTGAAGAAGAATAACAAACACTACGAGACGGTATAAAATTTCCAAAAAATAGAACACAAATCAACCAGCCAAATTTTACTAATTTCCTTCCAGTGTATGTTTACCTTAAGTTCGTTAATTTTCTTCTTTAGGAATAGCATTCATATCGTCGAAAGTTCTGTGTTTTTATGTGCCACACTTAGCAACTCTAAACCTACCGATGATATTCTAGTAGATCCGTTATAGTAGAAGGGAAATGATTTGAAGATGAAACAGGAAAACACTTAAAAATCTAACATTCAGTATCAACAACAATATTAACTTCGTGTGTACTTAAAAAAAAAATGTAATAATTATTTTTAGGATATTATTTAAATATTACACAAATAAACTATCAAATTTCTCAAATACCTAATCATTTAAAGTTTTTCCAATTCAGATATCATGAGGACGGGATATAAGTAAGATCACGTAAATGCAAACCATAGACAGCACATCTCACATCGATGTTCCCAAAATTAGTCACCAAATAAAGGCAATCCATCAATCCCATCCATCAATGACAATTCAAAAAATACATACCTATGTGTTGTCTTTAACCTGCAATTATAGAACATCATTTTCTGATCTGATGATATCTAAGAGGCAAAACTAGGATTCATAGACAAACTAGCATAGGAAAGAAGGAATAGGAACTTCTATAGGGACTTGAACGCTGGGTCATGCGGCTATTCAGGACAGACACCTAGACGTTTATCTTGTAATTAAGAATATGAATGAGTTTTCCTAATATTTTTTACTTCTCTTCTAAATCACAATTTACATGTAATCTCTAAATATCCTTAGGGCTAAGTAAGTGCCTTTCTTAAATTGTTCATTAACAATAAACTGTTAAAAGTACTATTATATCTGTGGGTTAAAATATTTTATTATTTCTTTTCACTTTTTATTTTATGATCTATTTATATGTTTATTCTTAGTATACATTTTTGTTTAAATCGTTGTCTTCATAAACCTCTTTTAAATATATTATATATAATATATTACATAACATATTATATTATAAATAGTAATTAGAGGAAAATATTTATATGAGTAACAGAAGACCTCTAGAGCTAAAGAAAAAGTTTATATAAACAATGACCCGATTTCAAGCAGAAAAGTAAATTTATAAATTAGAATTAATTCGTGTAATGGAGATCTTGGTAAAAAACACAGTTGTATTAAGACTTTAGATGATGAATAATCGAACAATCATTATTTTTAATTTTTCCTTTAGAAATAAAAAGTTGGTTTATAAATTTATATTTATTATTATACATCCCAGATCATGGAAAAACGAGAAATAAAAAAAATTGCAACAATTTATTTTAGTAATTTTTGCTGAAAACACGGGTACTTTTAGATGGTGGGTATTTATTTCAATTGAGGTGATTCTGAAGTTTTTCCCTAATAAATCTCTACTTGATTAATATGAACTTAAAAAACAACATTTTCCTATCAAAATTAATCCCGAATTACGGGACACTTTATATATTTATATTATTCATGAATTATATTGAATTGAATAAATCTCTCCGAAAACAAATATGTAAAATACGAAATAAGAATATGCATAAAAGATAACTTTTATTTTAATATAGGTGAGCAACCATTTTTACTGTAAAATATCAAATTCTAGTTCAATAAATGTAACGATGAGGAGTACGCAGTATATCTATATTAAACAAAAATAAATTAAGTAATAACAAAATAATAAATAGGAACAGTTGTAAATAAGACAATGGTTGAAATGAGAAAATAATTCGTTCACACCATATTTACAGAAAAATATAAATAACTAAAATAATATAGAAGAAATATTACAACAAAATAATAATCTAAAAGTATGTATATGTGCAATAAATATAAATGAAATAACCTTAAAGATAAGTACAGTGAAATAAAGCAGACATCTATAAACACTACTTACAGTCAGGCAACGAAAATCAGTACCAGACTTGTCTCCATACCTTTGGAAGAAAAAGTAGTACTCCAGGATATCCATGGGGTTCTCTCTTAAACTCGTCACTGGTTCTAAAGCCACTGGAGAATGATCCAGAGCGTGATATCCACATTAACTCAGGTCTTGGGTACCAAACCTAGCCATTGTCATAACTCCAACATATACATACTAAAATGGTCGCGGTTCCAAACTATAAGAATTGTAGGAATGGGTGGAACTAGATAGGGGATTATTCATGAGGATTGGGATGTCATTTATGGAATTTTCGGGGATAAAGTTTAGGAATATTGGTTTATTAAGGTCATGTTGTAGGGTGTTGTTGGTTACATACAACGGAGGATGGACTATTGTTCGAATGACTTTGGACTGAAAGGAATGGACGCGTTTGATGTTAAAACAATTTTTCTGCCCACAGTTCTAGACCGTGGGTCCAAACAGGTTCGATGATTTTCTTTTAGAGCATTGATTTGTTTTCAATAGAAAGTTTAGGGTTTCTATTCAGTAGTCTATATAGTTGGCCATATTGTCGGTTAGGTTCCTGTCTTCTAAGTCTAGTATGGGGATTCGACGTCAGTACTTGAATAAATTCAGTGGTCGTAACATGCCTTGATGATAACCCACAAGCTTATGTTGGAAAGTTAGCAATACAAATCTTAAAATCTGTATAAAAATCTTATACCACAAAATTAATCTAAATGCAGTAAAATTCAAATATTATAAATGTATACGAGTATTATGTATTTTTCAATGGAAAAAATAAAATCGTCCAGATAGAAAATAATCAAAGTATATAAAAAATTATCGATTTTCAATTTCAATTGGAGATTAATAATAATTAATTGTACAATTAGACCAAACAATTAAAAGAAAAAATTACAGATATGATTATAAAATCTTTTAAATCAAACTATAAATAGCATAAAAATGGATTTATTCAGTTTCAAATAAATACTTAAATAAAGGTTTGTTACTAAAAAATTCTTGTTTACGTTACCTTTATTTATATGATTGGTACATTCTAGGTCACACTTGTACTAACAATATGACAGGATGAAATAGATGTACTAGTAGAGAGTAAATAGTAACATTTACCTTCCTGATA